TTTTGTTTACTAATCTAGGTCAGGATTCTCACTTTGGGCAGTACTGAGATTTTGGGTCACGTAATTCTCTGTTGTGAGACTGCCCTGTACATTGTAGAATGTTTAACAACATCCCTAGTCTTTACCCACTAGATGCCAGTAGTTCAACAGCTCCCCCTCCTGCTCCCCCTGAAGTTGTAGTTATCAAAAGTGTTTCCAGACATTGCCAAATGACCCTGAGTTGGGGGCAAAATTACCTCCAGTTAACCACAGTTGTAGATATTTCTGGTATTGAGGTTGGGTTTTTTTTTTTTTTTTAAGAGAAGAGAGAGAATTTTTTAATATTTATTTTTCAGTTTTCGGTGGCACAACATCTTTATTTTATTTTTATGTGGTGCTGAGGGTCGAACCCAGCGCCCGGCTCATGCCAGGCAAGCGCGTTACTGCTTGAGCTACATCCCCAGCCCAATATACTATAGTTTTAAAACTAGAGTTTTGGTTAATTTGAAAAATTATATCCTTTAATTGCCCCTCTAAAGGACAAACAATTCATTTTCAGAACTTGAAAGGAGAACATTTCAGTTAAAAGCATTTTTAAGTTAGTACCAGGATTTATAATGTTTGGCTAATATTATTCCTGTTGTCCTTACTGGCTCCATGTTGTTCCTTTTCTGTCTTCCTGACTGAGTTTTAGGGGACCATATATGTGACAGACATTAAAGGTAGGATCAGTTTTTTCTTATAAAAATCTGGGTGGAATTGTTTTATTGGACAAAGGGTGTCTCTAGTGTTTTATTGGGCTCCATTCCTGTGATAATGTACTTCTATGGAAGTGAATTCTGTGCCCAATCATCTGGTCCACTGAGAGTGCCTCTAATTACAAAGAAGCTCTGATGGGAAGGTTAGATGGATAGATGTATAATAAAGTAAAGAAAGCAGAATGTTACTTGCGGAATTGAAATCCTTGTTAACTAACTACTTTTAAACAGTTTGTGTGTTTGAAAATTTTCATAATAAAAGGCCGATGGGAGAATCAGCCTTTTTAACTGCTGGTTAAGTTGACTTTTTTTTTACACTTCTATTATTTTAGTTGGATGTGGCTTAGTTGCTTTTCTTACAGTATTATAGTAATTAGGTAATAGAATTGGTGGTCCAAAATCTAGATTGTAATTTTGTTTGTGTCTTATTTAAAATGGTGATTATATTACTGAATAAAGTATGGAAACATTTGAGCTATATGCTTTGTATAGAAGTGTCAAGTATTATTACTACTTTTATTCATATATGAATATTTTTAAGACATTTCTTGGCTTCTAAAATGGGATGATTTTTCTCAGGACTGTAAAGTTAAATTCTAGGCTTACACCACCCCTTATTAATTGTATAGTGTTTGTCATTGGAAAGCATTTTTCTTCTATCTCTTCATAATCTTTCTTCCACTGTGTTGACTAGTTTTTAATTTTTTAATCAAGATGCATCATTTAAATTGGGAGTGAATGTTTCTTTGTTAGTTTTAGTGCTGGTTATAGCAGTGTTTGGTATATGGCAAATAAGAAATACTTCCTAAATGAATGAATTAAAATTTAGGAGAAACACGGGTGGGAATCTTTCCTCCTCCTTTTTCCTGTTAGAGATTTTTCATTTATTTGTTTTGGTACCGGAAGATCTAACCCAGGGGCGTTTTATCACTGAGCCACATCCTCAGCTTTTAAAAATTTAATTATTATTATTATTTTTTTAGTTATACATGACAGTAGTATGTATTTTGACATATTGTATACATACATGGGATATAACTTCCCATTCTTGTGGGTGAACATAATGTGGAGTTACACTGGGCTTGTATTCATATATGAACATAGGAAAGTTATAGCAAATTCATTCTACTGTCTTTTCTATTCTCATTCACGCTCCCTTCCCTTCATTCCCCAACCCTTTTTGTTTTTTATTTCGAGACAGGGTCTCATGAGTTGCTTAGGGCCTTGCTAAATTGCTGAGGCAGGCCTTGAACTTGTGATTCTCCTGCTTCAGCTTTCTGAGCACTGGCATTACATGCATGCACCACCATGCTTGGTTTGGGATTAGATTTCTTTAAAAAAAAAAAAAAAGTACACATTTTTGTAAGGTTGAAAATAGTTCTCCAGCATATTTTAGAGGTAGTCTAGGAAGATTTTTGTATGCAAACAATTCATAGGTTAGAAGCTCATAAATTATGAGGCACAGGGAATATGGAACAACTCCTGAAGTAAAGGCAGGAGGCATGGATGCTTCTAGGAGTTGCTGTCATTTTGAGATAGTACAAAGTACAGGATTTCATTACCTGCTGCTGTTGTTGACTCTATCTTGTTCCTTTATATCTAAAGATTCATAATATGTGATCTTATTTGTAACTGAATATTAAATTGAAGTAACTAAATTAACATTTTATAGTTGACTAAATATTAAAATCATACTGATCTGATTTTTTTTTTTTTTTTTTTTGTAAATCATAGTCTAAGAGTCAGGAGTGAGTGAGGGATGCATGACAAGAAACTTTGACTTGAAACTCGGAAGGAAAAATATTTATATTTACCTTTATTTTTTATTTAGTACTACATTTTTGCAAACTTTTTTTATAGTGTTTATGTGCAAGCATGCCATGGAACTCCTCACGTTTTTCCTTAGCAAATCATGCTACACTTTTTTTTATACATTGATTACATTTTCATAATATAAATTATTCTGAGGGAATAAATAAAATTAGCAATGCCATCAGATGATGCATTTGTTTCCAGACATTGGTAAAAGGATGGTACTTACTTGCATGGAATAAATTTTATAGAAATAATTTTTTTGTGAAGAAAATACATATCTCCCTTGATCATAGTCTTAACGTCCTGAGGAGAATTCCATGGTATTATTGTCATTAATTTACTATATAGAACAAACTCTTTGAGATAAGTTCATTCTCAAGTTTTTTCAAGAAGATTGATTCTCTTGAAATGCTATTGATAAAACAATAAAAAATGTATGCTGACAGTTACTATCACCTTTCTTGATTTAGCAGATATTCTTTGAGTCTGCCTTTTTATTTAGAATATTAGGAGAGACTGGATTCCATGTAAAAAGATCTAGGAAGCACTGTATCTTGTAGTACCTACAAGTGGATGGAAATGAATGGGGAAGAGAATTGACAGATTTTGTGATAGAGTATTTGTTTTAACTTTCTAATGGAAATATTTAAATGGGACTATAGTCATTAAACAAGAATCCACAAACTTTCTCTATAAAGAGATAGATAATAAATATTTTAGGGTCTTCTGGACTGTATAATCTCTGCAGATGAGTACAAAAGAGGTTGTAGAAGATGTATTAGTGAGTATGGTTGATTTCAATAAAACTTTATTGACATGTACTGAAATTTGAATTTCATCATCTCTACACATCACAAAATATTTACATTTTGATGTTTCCCTAACAATTTGCTGTAAAAACCATTCTGAACTCATAGGTCATATGAAAACAGGTGATAGGACATAAGTTTCAGTAGTGATGCTAACCAGTGAAGCGTAAAATATGATGGTGAAATAGCATATATCCCACAACCTAATGTGCTTTATATCTCTCCTTAAAATTCTGAGCATTGCAAAAGAAAATAAAAAATATGCTTTATCCTTGAGGTAAGATGAGAATAATAAAGTAATAATATGAGAGAGACTGTGTTGTAAGACTTGATGGAATTAGACCACTAGTGATTTTCAGATTTGCTGAAAATACGAATAGCCAGTTTCTTAAATTCAAGAACAGGCACAGTTCCTTAAATTCAGAAGTAGGAAGAATGCAGTCCAATGTGTGGATGCTTCTGGATTTTACTGTAGAGCCCTTTGAGGATTCAAAGGATATAGTGGTATAGTTTTGTGAGACATTTCTTACAATGACCCTTGAGAATATATAAGTGCACAAGAAAATAAAGTGAAAGAACCTGTATAGAATCCAAGTATGTTTTGTTTTTTGGCTCTTGCTGTGAAAGGTCTCTTGCCATCTGTTATTCAGAAACAAGCTTAAGCTTGTGAGGAAAGCATTGCTACTAATTTAACCAGCATTTTGAGGATTTAGTGTTGGCAAGATATTTGAAAATGTTGCAAAATACAAAATATTTTCAGAGTTTTGATCTAGGACTATAGGTTGGGATTTTGCCAGGCCTGTTCCTTTTTCACCATAGTGAAAATGCTTTTTCCTTGCTTTGGTTTCTTGCATCCGTCTAGAGCAGGTGAAACAAAATTGACTAACTTGGAAGCAAATAATCCCAATCAAGGAAATAGCTAATATTGTAAATAAAGAAATTTTTCTTGAACCAGGTAAAGCACATTTGATGAAGACTGGCTGAAAGAAAATAGCACAAGAAGTGGAATCAATTGTTTGGTCAAAAGTTTTATTTCAGTGAGTCTGAATGGAGTTTGTTTTTATATTTTTATTTTTAACCTTAACTCCTTTTTTTCCCCCCAAAATAAGCTTTGCATATCTACTTGATGTCAAGGAAGTCGTGAAATTTTGGAAAATATAAATGACCATATTAATTTATTTTCTGCTTAAGAATGTTTACTGCTTTGCAAGTGGGAGAAATTTTAAGAGATGTTAAATGTCAAAGTTGCTTATCTTCATTTGAAATTAATAGTTGGCAATATTTAAAAAATAAAATTGATAAATTTGTGTTGGTTAATATGCCAAACCAGGTTGAGATTACTTGTATGAGTTTCAATAAATATTTTAGATCCTAAACTAACAAAGTAATCTTAGATTTAGTACATGTAAAATTTTAGCATTTTTCTTTTACATATTTTTTGTTGTTGTTGTTGTTTGGGGGTAAAGAAACTTTACCTGTGGCTTCCCTGTGAAATTTATCTACACAATTGGCTAATGGACTGGAGTGAAATTAGGAAAGCTTGAGGTCTTTTCTTTGGAAAATCAGAAGAATGTACAGTGGTTTTTGACTGGAGTTGATGAGTTCTCTGAGTTTTACTCTTTTTTTTTTTTTTTTTCAGTGAAACCAGCAGTGTGTGTAGCAGCAGTGACACTGGGCTCTTCACCAACGATGAAGGACGGCAAGGTAATTTGGATCCCAGCTTTGGGACACGGGTTCATTATTGATGGGAAGATGCAAATGACTAGGGGTGACTCACTGACAGTAGAATGATTGTGGTAGTGGTTCTCAAGCTTTATGGCATGGAGGTCACCTGAGGGACTGCTAAAATTGTAGATTCCTGAGCTAGAAATCAAGTAGGTCTAGAATTGGCTCTGGAATCTGCATTTTCCACAAGCATGATTTTTATGCAGGTAATTCAGATTTTGAGAATCATTGTTTGGGGGTTTAGAACCAAGAAGTATCCTCATGCACTACTGTCTTTTTTTTTCTTTTTTTTTTTTGATGAGATATATGAGATATTTTTATTACAGAGGGAGAATTTTACCTTATTTATAAATGTTTATAGCGTTCCGGGTGAATATATTATATAAAATGTTTTTCTCAAGTTAAAACTCCTGAAGGTGGGGCTGGGGATGTGGCTCAAGCGGTAGCGCGCTCGCCTGGCATGCATGCGGCCCGGGTTCGATCCTCAGCACCACATACAAACAAAGATGTTGTGTCCGCCGAGAACTAAAACAAAAATAAGTAAATATTAAAAAAATTCTCTCTCTCTCCCTGTCTCTCTCTCACTCTTTAAAAAAAAAAAAAAAAAACTCCTGAAGGTTAGTATAGAGACCTATGAAGAAGACTAGTGTATGTTAATTGTCAGTTCTTTATTTTTACTACGTAAGTAGTAATTTGAGATTTTGCAGTGGTCTAAGGGCATTTACAAAATTCTTGTTCTCTTGCTTAGTGTGCCAATAAGAATTTCATGTAACCTTTTTGGATTCTAGTTTTCTTAATTTACAATAAGGAATTCATAGATTTCTTTTTTAAGAGAGAAGAGAGAGAATTTTTTAATATTTATTTTTCAGTTTTTGGTGGACACAACATCTTTATTTTATTTTTAGGTGGTGCTGAGGGTCGAACCCAGTGCCCCGCGCATGCCAGGCGATCGCGTTACCGCTTGAGCCACATCCCCAGCCCGAATTCATAGATTTCTAAAGTCTCTTTTAGTTCTGAAATCTAATAATTTTTCTCCAAGAATTAAGTGTTTAGATAACAGAGGCACAGTGACCACATTTCTAGGTTGATCCAGTTAGGCTTCCCAGTAATTTAAGCATCCAAGTTCTGATTTTGAAAAGGTACTGTGTTAAAAAAAAAAAGAAAAGAAAATGTACTGTGTGGGGGGCATCTCATTCACACCTCAGAGTAATTGGCATAGAAACAGATGAAACCTGTTTTATCCCTGTGGAGTTATTGAGCTTCCTACTATAAGGGAGGTTCTTATGAGTAAATTTCTCTTTCTCTGATTCTGAGGGACAAAGGGTGCCTTAGGAACTGTGTGCATGTACAGGTTGGCTCTAGCTAGGGTCTTAATTCTTTTCTCATACTGAGAAAAATCTGGTTGTCTTCCATTCATGATTTGGTGATATCATTCAGAGTTACTAATATTTGTCTTTTTTCTTTGCTTTTACTATAGTGCTGTGAAGTAGCATGATATACCTTTTTATGCTTTATTAGTGCATTATAGCTATGTATAATACTGGGATTCATTTTGACATAACATATATACCTAGAATGTAATTTCCTCCACTTTAGTACCTGGTACTTCCTCTTTTCCTCCTTTCTTCCTTATCGCTTCTCCTTCCTCTAGTCTACTGGTCTTCTTTCTCTTTATTTATTTATATATTTTTAAATTAGTGCTTTATAGATGTAACATAAAGGTGAAATTCATTGTGGCATATTTATATATGTACATAGCATAATTTGGTCAATTTCAGTCAACCATTCTTCCCTTTTCCTGTCCTTCCTTCCTCCTCATCAGTCCCTTTCTCTGCTTCACTGATCTCCCTTCTATTTTCATGGAATTCTCTCTCCCTTTTTTCCTTATTTTGATCTATTTTCCACATATGAGAGAAAACACTGAACCCTTGACTTTCTGAGTCTGGCTTATTTCACTTAGCATGTTTTTCAGTTCCATCCATTTATCAACAGGTGCTATAATTTTATCCTTCTTTATGGCTGAGTAAAACTCCATTGTTAATATATACCACATTTTCTTTATCCATTCATGTGTTGATTGGCACTTGGGCTAGTTCCATAACTTGACTATTAAGTTGCACTGCTATAAACATTGATGTGTGTTCATCACTATAGTATGCTGATTTTAGTTTTTTAGGATAAATACCAAGGAGTGGTATAACTGGGTCATATGGTGGTTCCATTCCTAGTCTTTTGAAGAATCGCTATGCTGCATTCCAGAGCAGTTGTACTAATTTGCAGTCCCACCAAAAGTACAAGAAATAAAACCAAGAATCAGTAAGTGGGATGGCATCAAATTAAAAAGCTTCTGCACAGCAAAGGAAACAAGAGTGTGAAGAGAGGGCCTACAGAATGGGAGAAACCTCTGCTGCTTACTGACAGAGGATTAGTATCCAGAATATATAAAGAACTCAAAAAATTTTAACACTAAAGAAAAAAAAAACCCAATTAATAAATGGGCATAAGAGCTTAACGGACACTTCTCAAAAGATGCAGTGCAGATAGCCAACAAAAATATGAAAAAATGTTCATACTATTCTTTTTAAAGGCTATGATACATAATTATACAGAGTTGGAACAAAGTGTGGACCCATTACAGCAGGTAAAGTTTTGGGGCCTTTGAAAGTCTTTCCATTAAAAAATAAGAATTGCTTGATTTATCATGAAAGATGTAGAATATTCTGTAGCCCAGCTCTCCACTTTGTCTCTGCCTCAATTTTACACATTCTGGTGATACTTAGATGTTTAAGAGTTCTCAGCACAAAAAGCCATGTTATTGCCTGCTTCTGTACCTTTGTTCACATGGGTCTTTCTCTCTCAAATCTCACCCTCATCTTTCCTTGAATGGCTGATCATCCACTAAAAAAGAGTACTCCTTTTGTGCCCCTCCAGGGCAAAGTTATGGACTGTATCAGTGTCCGCCCCCCCCCCCCCATTTCTTGTTGAGCATCTGCAGAAGTTTAGAGAGAGGTGAATGAGATTTGTTGTTATTTATTAAGTTTTTATTGTGATAATGCTACATAACAGCCCCCAGATATCAGTAGTTTACATTTATTTCTTGCTGTGGGTTTATGGGTCAGCTGTAGTTCAACTGATCTTGCCTGGGCTCATCTTTTTAGGATAATGGAGCTGGCTAAATGCAGCATTCAGTTCTTATGGCAGAACCAAGTAACCCATCCAGACCATGTTTGTGTGCATAGTTAAAGTCTTTGTTGAATCACGTCTGTTAATGTTCTGCTTCTTATAGCAAGTGAATTGACCAAGTCCAGTGTCAGCAGGTTAAGGAAGCATGCTCTGCCCCAGGAGAAGGCACTGTAGATTCCACTGGTGAAGGACAGAGGACAAGGTTAAATTATTCTGTTGTAGGGGCAGTCAGAACTTGGAAAACTACCACGTTTCATGATAGCTTTCTCTGGCTCCCTGTTAGGTGGCCTATTGGCACTGATTTTGTTCCTGTACAGAAGAATATCACTCCTGTTTGGCAGTGTGCACCAATGGCTACAGTTCTTTCTGTAGTCCTTGTTAACCATTCTTTTCCTTGCCACTCCATGTCGAGTACTTGTAAAATGCCCTTCTGTGCTGGCTCTGGGCTTTAGCATCCCTTGGTGTTTTCCTTATCTATACATCTATACCTTTGTAAATAGTCACTTCATTAAATTGTCCTCAGGCACCCAATTTAAATGTGCATGCTTCCTAAAGGGATTCTAACTGATAATCTTTATAGTCTTTATGCTCTTGTGGTTCCTCGTATTTATTGCTTTTTTATCATTTGCCATATTAAGTTATTATTTATAGTATTCTTTCCTTTAAAGCTTTCCAAAGGGAGGAATTGTGTGATTATTTGCAACCATAATACCTAACACATTGCCTAGCATATAGGGACTTCCTAATAGTATTGAGAAACGCAGATAAAAAGAGCACTCTCCTTTTTCTTCTCGAAACAGAACTCTTTATAGAATCTCAAATTATAAGACAGCTGAGCCTGTTTGGTTAAAGCATGATACCAGAAGAACTGGAGGTTGGTAGCCCAATCCACTCAGCCTCTTCTTATGCCTTGGCAGCGTTCTTTTAGGGAGCTCCTGTGCCAGGCATCTAGTGAACACAGGTTGAAGTCTGCTGGTTTATAGATAATCTCACAAGTTACTTCTAATTCAGTTTTTTTTTTTTTTTTGGTGTGTGTGTGTGTGTCTATTATTGGAAATCTTGAGCAAATACTTGAGAACCAAGAGAAAAAAAAAAAATCCTCAGAAACAACTAGTTTGAATTGGATTTTGAGCCCCTGGGTTTACCTATGCCATGGAAAATGGGAAGGGGGCAGTTTATTTTTTGTGGAAAAGACATCAGGCTTTGGAGTTAATTAGGCTTTTGTTTCAAATTCTTGCTTCATCATTTACTAACAACCATGATTTCTCATTGTAAATTAGAGTTAGTGTAGGACTTGGAAGAAATAACATATTTACAGATTTTCAGCATGGATTCTTATAGACTGTAAAGTCTCAGTAAGTGTAGTCTTATTAGTGTTTATTATTAAAGTTGTCCAGTCTAGCATAATATGACATTCAGGGGAACTAGTTTGATGTCCCAGTTTTCATCATAATGTTTTCCAGAACAATTTTTCGGTACTTTGGTTTTTAAAAAAATATAATAAAAACTGTAGTGCTGAGAAGTCATCCCCCATGGATGTTAAAATTCCAGCTCATGATATGGTCTGTTTGTTTTAGGGGATGATGAACAGAGTGATTGGTTCTATGAAGGAGAATGTGTTCCAGGATTCACTGTCCCTAATCTTCTGCCTAAGTGGACTTCTGATCATTGTGCTGAAGTAGAAAGAATGGATTCTGGACTGGATAAACTTTCAGATTCCACATTCCTTTTACCTTCTCGACCAGCTCAAAGAGGTGAGTTTGGAGAAAACTAAAATATAATTCATGCCTTTGTAGTTCTTTTTGGGAGGAATCATGTCATTGTCAAGGATACTCATGCCTCTAAGCATGCAGTACTATCTGAATGGTGGAGATAGTACACCATTCAGGAGTTTCTGGAGGATTCAAGAGTGAGTCTTAGCTTGAGATTCTCTGCATTCTTACCTGATTCAATCTGTGGAGATTCTTAGAATATATATTAACAAGGCATTTCTTCAGCTTGCCAAGCTGCTTGCTCTGCTGTAATGATGGGTTCTTTTCTCTTGGAAAAGGATTTCAGTAAGAATATCCACCTACAAGGTATAATGGTACTTTTTAAATGGATGATTTTTATTTTAATGATTCTATTATTGCATACTTAAGCATAAATATATGTCCTTTTCTTTTGCTTTTTTTTTCAATTGTGGAAAAAAAGCAAATTGTGTAGCACAGTGGGGTGAAAAACCCAGCCCAGGACGGGGAGAAGGAAATGTCATGTTATTCTTTGGTACTTTCTGCTACCTCTGTGGTTGCTTCATTTCCTTTAATGTCAGGGGCCTTGCTTAAGATATGTGAAGTTGAATAAAACTTTTTTTTTTTTTTGGGGGGGAGGGGGTTCTTTAGCTCTGTAAATTTATAACTCTGGGATTCCCAGTAACCAATAATCAACCTGTTAGTCAGTTATCAAGTATTTGTTGATTATTGTAGGTGGTCAGGGTTACACTAAGAGCTATAAATACCTGTGAAATAGGATTTTATTTTGATGAATTTTGGAGTTTGATAGACTTTCTCAAAGCAGTGGATACTTGGTAAAGATTATTGCCTGGCTGAGGCACATTCTTTGCTACCCTATTAAATTCTATCAAACATTTCAATGAACATTTCTTTTTTTCTTCTCTTTTTTATTTTTCCTTTTTTATGGTGCTGGGGATTGAACCCAGGGCCTTGTGCATGCTAGGCAAGCACTCTATCAACTGAGCTATATCCCCAGCCCCCTTCAATGAACATTTCTGTAAGTTCTTTTTGGACCACTTAACATAGGCACAAAAAGTAAAAAAAACAAAAACAAAAACCAAATGGCTTGCAATCCCAGATCCAGAAACCATGTCATTGATAACATTGTTGTGTGAATTCTTCCTGTTCTTTCTGTGTGGGGAACACATAGAACAGTTAAGAAAATGGGGTTTTTAGGGCTGGGGTTGTGGCTCAGCGGTAGAGCGCTCGCCTAGCACGTGCGAGGTCCTGGATTTAATCCTTAGCACCACATAAAAATAAATAAAATAAGGATATCATGTCTAACTACAACTAAAAAATAAATATTAAAAAAAAAAGAAAATGGGGTTTTAGTGTGCATTCTCTTTTCACCATAACTTTGTAATATTAGAATGCTTTTGAGATTGTAACTAGCATTTAATTTAAAATTAAAAATTGTTAATATACCTTATATTTACATAGCATTTGCAGTTTTTAAAGAACCTTCCATATGCTATTTCATTGGGTCTTCAGAACAACTCTATAAAGTAGGACCAAGTGATGTAGGTGCGCATGCCTAGGTAAAAGGTGAATGGTGTGCCTAAGATCATTCAGCTAGTGACAAAGACATGGCAGCAAGTCCTTGGGAAATAACACTGTGAAGATCCTGGGTGTAAGGGCTCCAGTGTACTAGAAACATCTCCCTGTGTATGGATTTTCCACATTCAGTAACCTAGGCCTTCTTTTTCCAGGATACCATGCTCGTTTGAATCGTCTGCCAGGGGCTGCAGCACGATGCCTCAGAAAGGGGCGAAGAAGGCTGGTTGGGAAGGTGACAGCTTTCATGGTTTCCTGGGTGCCCTAGGAAGATGAAACTCCCCATGGGATTTGTGTATCCTATTGCTGGTTGGGAAGGTGACAGCTTTCAAGGTTTCCTGGGTGCCCTAAGAAGATGAAACTCCCCCTGGGATTTGTGTATCCTATTGCTGATTGGGAAGGTGACAGCTTTCATGGTTGCCTGGGTGCCCTAGGAAGATGAAACTCCCCATGGGATTTGTGTATCCTATTGGTGATCAAAGATGCTACAGAACTCCCTGGTGTTAGGGAAGCCAACTGGAATGTTTTGGGAGTTTGCAAGAGTGAACATTATGTAGGATTTAAGTTTATACACACATAAATGATAAAAATGTAATCCACATAGGAGTTCTGACAAAGCAGATACTCTCTTCACAGCCTCTATTGTGAATGCATCTACAGGCCTGCTGTCTAGTCTCTGCACTTTTGATTAATCATCATTATTATGGTTTAAGTTAAAATACTCTTGGCTCTTTAACAACTTGTGTGTTAAGGAATGTTCCTTTGTTATATTCTAACTTTGATCTTTTTATCCTAGAATTCATTAAAACAAAACAAAAACCTCTATTATCAAATTACAATATCCCCTCCTTGGCCACAAGAGAGGAGTCTCTACAGTCTATAGTTCTGCTTAGCCAAGACTGTGATAGACACTTGGCTTATTTCACTCCTCCCTACAATCTTGTCAAAATGTTAATAGTTTCTTTTTTAAAAATATTTATTTTTTAGGTGTAGTTGGACACAATGCCTTTATTTTATTTACTTATTTTTATGTGGTGCTGAGGGTCAAACCCAGGACCTAGCACATGCTAGGCGAGCGCTTTACCGCTGAGTTACAACCCCAGCCCTGAAAGTTCCTTTTATAGATGAGGAAAACTTAGGTTCAAAGAAGTTAAGTAATGTCTGATGTTACCTGGATTGTAGTGACAGAATAGATATTGGAATCCAGAGCTACTTTATTTTTTTTTTTTAATTTTTTACTCTAACTTTGAGACCAAGAGACAGGCAAAGACAAGGGCTAATACTTACTTGAAGATGAAGGTAGGTGAGGGATAAGAAGGAGAGACATTTGAGAGCATTGATTTGTTTGTTCTCTCAGTAAGCATTTAGAGTGTCTGCTATATAGGCTCTGTGCTGAGCTAGGTATATAGCAGTCAGCCATAGTCTGACTTCTCTTAAGGGACTGGTGCACCCTGCCCCAGTACTGGGGATTGAACCCAGGGGTGCTTTATCACTGAGCTACATCTCTAGTCTCCTTTACGTTTTTTTTTAAGACAGGGTCTTACTGAGTTGCCCAGGTTCACTCAAATGTGTGATCCTTCTGCCTCAGCCTCATAGCTAGGATTACAGGTGTGTGCCACTGTGCTAGGCTTCAGGGAACTGTATTCTGAAATTTTAGCCATGCAAAAGAAATGAGGCTGTTTATTTGTAGACAACTCAGATTCTTACTCCTTATTTTTAAATTCTAATTTGAATCTCACTAAGTAGTAAGATTTGATTATTGGAAGAATGATAACTTGATCTTTTTGGATCATTCACTTTTGAGACTATTAATAGAGTGCTGCGTTTGATGTTTTGGGAGTTTATAGGACAGCTACTGGAATAGAAGTATATATGGTTGAGGGAGGTAAGAGGTTAGGAGTGGGGAACAGACAGGTGGGGTTACTTTTTCTCTTTATTGGTTAGGTTGGACAGATGAGGTTCTCCCTACCACCTGCTTTTCTTTCTTTCAGCTCTTATAAAATAAGAGCCTTCTACTTCCATGGAAGTGAGTCAGTTCATCTCCAACTGACTTCAGCTTGCCTGGGAGGGAACTAGGGCCTATTGGACAAGCCTCTAATGATTTCAGATGAATAGGATAATATTTACTTGTTTAATTCATCTTCATCACCTTAAAGGGATATTTGTCATTTCTAGCAGAGGTCACTGTTCTGTCCTCCTTTTTCCCCTTCCCCAGTCTCTCTCCTCTTTTTCTAAATTGTAATCATAAATAATGAGTTTCATTCACAGCTCCCTGCCAGCGAGCTGCTAATTACGCAAAGTACTGCTTGTAATTTACACAGTAATAAACTGTAAATTTAAACATTACGGCATTTTAAGTTAATAATTTTTCTGCCGTAGCAAATAGCTCATTTTTCACCCATCTTTTTCCTTGGCCCCCTACCATTCTGTGTCTGTAAGTAGGAGGCATAGCTGTAGGAATAAGAAATATGAAAAATGCATGTGTGAAACCTGGTCATTTAGCTACACTCTTTTCCAGAATCTGACCTCAGATTAATTTTTCTATAGCCAGTGGTTCTGTTAAAATATGTATCCTAATGTTTAGGCTAGTCCATATACATAATGAGTACAGATAACAGTACTTGTCCAGAAACAAATGTGTTTGAGTAACAGTCTTGCCAATCTTGACATTCATGACTCATGTTCTCTTAACACTTACACACAAGTGTGTAACCATTATTCACATAGGGGTTGGTGTCCTTTTCTAGGTACTGTGATAGATAGTCATTATGAACGTACTCAAGTTCAATGAACAGTGAGTGCCTTCTGCCACTTTCCAATTTTTTGGAGATGATTAGTTTCTGAATTGCTTAAAGTGTTATGGGTAAGTGTTCACATTACAGTCTTGAGAATCTTGAATTTACAAATCAGCTTTTACAAGTTTCTGTTTTTACTTTGAGATGATGTTTAATGGATTAGGTACAGGGTGACAATTTTTATAAGTCACAAAAGTCCTGTGATATGTATTCATTTAGTTAGCAGCTATTTAGGGTTTACCAGTGAGAACTCATTTATTTTCCCACTGTGAAATTTTCCCACATGTGAGTGGGGCTACACTCACATGGCTGACTCAGCTTGGTGTGCTGGCCTGTTAAATATTGGCTGCTGTTGAATTTTCTGCAAAAGTGTTTCTGCTATATACGTTAGTAACCACAGTATGCATAAAGAAATGATGTAGGCATGTATTGAAGTATCACCATGGTACCTACTATTGTGTATAATTTTTAGGTTGTATGTATCGATTAGAATAAAAATCACATTAAACACTATTTATAATGTCTTTGGATCAGTAGAGAATTAATAAGGATAACATGTAATACTTTTAAGATAGATTCCCATTAAAAAAAAATAAGAGTTGCTATTGGGTTACAAGATTGACATTTGAACTGGGTCCTATGGCACACACCTGTAATCCCAGCTACTCAGGAGGCTGAGGCAAGAGATTGCAAATGTGAGGCTAGCTTGGGAGATTTAGTAAGACCTTGTCTCAATATAGAGAGGGCTGGAAGTGTAGCTTAGTGGTAGAGCATTTGTCTAGCATGTGTGAGGCCCTGGGTTCGATCCCCAGGGGTAACAAAAACAAATGACATTTGAGCTGTTCATTTGAGGTTGCTTCAGGTGGCACAATTATGGGAAAGCATGAGCTTAGAAACATTGTACTTTGTATATTTGCTTCTGTGGTGGGATGTTACTCTTTTTTTCCTTGCCTTTTTAGGAGTCCAGCATAAGTACTCTGGGTACTGAGAGGATAAGCCATATCATCAGTGACCCCCGGCAGAAAGAGTAAGTGCTGAAGTGTTTACTGGCTGTGCACACTGTTCTTTGGAGAAGGAAGCAGAGGAGGTTTTATGAAACAACCTAGTGTCAGGCTATAGAGCTGAAAGAGGTGATCTAAAAGATACGTTCTTTATAATAGTTAAGATGGCCAGAACCATGACAATGATTTTCTTTCTAGACTAGTTTATTTTCTTGGTTTTTATGTTTCTAGGTGTTACGTTAATGCCTACCAACATTTCTACCTCTTAATTGTTTTTAAATAAGTGATTTTTCTCTATTTTATATTTTTTCCCATTTTCAGAGCTCTTTATAGAGAAATCTCTTCTGTCTAATCACTTTGATAAGTGCAATGGAAAGCCTGTATGTAGCTATAGGAGAATCATCTACACATTCTTAATGAGAGCCTTGTCACCTAGCATGGTTGGCTCTGCCATATTTCTTGCCCGTATGACTTATGGTTAGTACCCAGTTATGATCTTGTATGCATTCAGCCCAGTCTGATTTTTAATTTATAAAATAGGCAAGATGTGTACATGGTTTATGCCCCTTTAAGCCCCTCTTGAACTGAAACTCCCATTGTCATTGCACAGCAGAGAGAGCATTGATGTTGCTCTGTGACCTTGGGTTTATTGTAGCCTGCCCAGTCATTTACATTCCATTATGAGGCTTTGAAGAGTTCCTTTTTTTTAACCTTTATTTTATTTATTTATTTTTATGTGGTGCTGAGGATTGAACCCAGCGCCCTGCACATGCCAGGTGGCCGACACTTTACCACTGAGCCACAACCCCAGCCCTGAAGAGTTTCTTTCAGCCAAAAAATTCACATATAGTCTTTGTCCTTTCTCCTCCAGTTGTGTCTTCTCCCATTTTCTTTGTCTTCACTTCATTATTCCATCTGTTTATCTTCTCCCCTCTGTAATTTTCTACCACTTCTTTTATTGTTTTCTTCCCTGTTATTCTCTCCCTCTCTTTAGTTTCTGGTTACCATCAGCTGGGAAAAGAGAGCGAAATCAGGTAAGATCACTTTTCCTTATCATCTTTATTTTATCATTTGATTTCCTTTTCTTTAGAAAGAATAAAACATTGGCTTCTGATTTTCCTCACATTTCTGCCTGTGCACAAGAGGTAAGGTTTCCTTTTCCCTACGTTATTCTGACTTTCTCAGAGGACTGTTCCCCAAGAATATCTGATACTTACTGATGAGAATCGTAGACACTTCCTCCTTTTGAGGTTTACACATGATTGTCAGTTTCTTACTTATCAAGGGGATTCTGTTTTTATTTTTAGTTTTGAATTTGTAGTAAGAAAGTAGAGTGAATCTTATCTGCTTATGGTTTAGTTTAGCACCAGAATCCTGTACTGTGAAGTTGTGAAGTCCTTTACTGAATGAAGCCTTGACATCTGAAGCAGAAGAGGGTAGAGCTGCTAAAGTTCACTATCTAAAAATTGCTCATAGTGGCTACTGTTAGGTTTATTCATGTTTGAAACTCTTTCATTTTGGGCGGGATAGGGGTTTCTTTATCTTAGTAATGAGTTGTAGAATTGATGAAGACTGATGGGTAAAAATTTTCAGGCTTCTGTTGCTCAGTGGTTGGTTTGTTTTTTGGACTACTTAGTAGCATACCAAGTTGACGTACATTTTAGACTTGGAACTTTCATTGTAAAGTTGCTGTTTCAAAACGTACTAAAGTAGTGGAAGATGTAATCATCTCACGAGTTGATTTCACATAATTTTAAGTTATGTATTCAAAGAAATGTAATCACTACATCAAACTTGTCACTTCTTGGAAACATAGTTAGGACAAGTCCACGTTAAAATAATTGGCATAAAGAAAAGTAGTAGGTAAACAGTATGTAGTGGGGAGTCAGGTAAGGAAAAAATCACGAAGGCAACATGTGACAGACTGCTGTTTAGGTATTCTTAAGTTAGAGCTCTGATCATGTTCATATCAGAGAATTCAAAGGCAGAAGGATACTTGTGGTCATCACCTACTACAGATCTGTTAAGTACAAATGAGGAACTGGAGGTCCATGTATTGTAAAATGTTTGCCCAAAGTCAGACAGCAAGTAGAACTGGGTCCAGCACCTTTATGGCTTAGTATACATTCTTATGTTCTTTTGAAGTTGTCATTCAAAGTTCTTCCAATCTTTTTTAGAAATTGTTTTGTAGTTGTAGATGGACAGAATGCCTTTATTTTATCTGTTCATTTTTATGTGGTGCTAAGGATTGAACCCAGTGCCTCACACATGCTAGGAAGTGCTCTGCCACTGAACTACAGCCCAGCCCTCTTTCAATCTTAAGATGCATTAAGTTGCTGACAATGGGCTATTTTGGGAAAAGTCCAAAGAAAGCTAACAAACATAAAGCCAAGGTACTTTTACACATACTGTATTCCATTTGACCCTCACAGCCCCCTTTTTGTTTTTGTTTCTGTTTTTGTGCTGGAGATGAACCCAAGGCTTTGCACATGCTAAGCGTGTACTCCACCACTGAACTATTACTCTGTTCCTCATGGCTTACCTTTTGGGGTCAATAAATGTTTACAGATGGAAAGTTGAAATTATTTTGAAATCTTAAAGCAACATTTCAGTTAGCCTTTAAAAAAAACAAACAAAAACCCTGTAACATATAATCTGCAGATGAGGATAATACAACTCAAAGAGGCTTTGTCATTTTAAACACTGAGCGACTTGATGGACTGGGATTAGGTATTTCAATTCTAGTGTAGTGTAGTGTAGTCTCTTTTTGCTGTACTGTGCTGCTGGTCTGTGCTCATTAGTTACTGTTAAAAACATTTGTCAGAATAAGGGAACAAAAAAGGTAATTTTTCACTAGTCTTCTTGGGAAAGGGGGCTGATAAACTGTTGACAATCATTAGATGTAAGTTCCTGTGATGCCAGTTGGAAAGTACACTCTTGTGCCATTTAAATATTTACTGGGTATCAGAAGTTTTTGAAGAACTATTGTTTAACAAGGAATTTTTTTGGGGGAGATGTGCTAGATGAGTTATGCCACACTCCTGGGCACACTATTAACTATGCACAACCTTATGGAATGGTGTCTATGTTAGTACGACAGAGAATTGGATAGTCAAAGAAAAGTAAATAGTAGGCTGCCCTTTGGGAACAGGTCTGTTTCATTTAAACCTTACTAAAAAAATCTTATTTATCCCCACAGTTTAATCCCCTTTCTCCTCTTTACTCCCTGGATGTTCTTGCTGATGCTTCTCATCGAAGATGTTCACCAGCACACTGCTCTGCCAGGTATTGTTGTTTAGTGACTGTTATTTTCTTCTGGACATTATTTTCTTCTTTTATAACACTTCATATTATAAAGTTTGTATATACGTCCAGTTTTATCCATACAACCTTCAGAGATAAATAGATGTTTTACAGATGCAGAAACTGAGGCTGAGGGCTGAGGTGTCTTTGCTGTGGTCACATGGCTAGTATGTGATTAAGTCTCAACGGTGACCTCAGTCTTCTGGCTCATATTTCATATTATTTCTGCTGCTAAAAGTCCCTTCTTCAAAGAACATTATTAATGTTCCTTGCCATGACCTGCAAAACCCTGCATAATCTGATTTCTGCCTACTTGTCCAGCCTCCTTTCATATAATTCTTCCCCCTCTCTGGGGAAGAGATCCATCTGCACTGGAGAGCTCCGTTTTGTTCTTCAAAAAGAACAGGCTTTTCCTGCCTCAGACCTTCACTCTTGTTTCTTTTGCTTGGAAACCTCTTCGAGGTCCTACTCACCACAAGTCAGTTGTTACCTCTTCAGGGAGGACCACTCAGACCACCTTCCTAAAGGGGCAACCTGCAGTACTCTCTGTTCATTGTGTTTCCTTCCTGTTTAGCTCTTACCACAATCTGTAATGCTTTTACGTATTAGGTTTTTTTCCGCCCCCACATGTCTCTTGCACTAGAATAGCAGCTTCAAAGGGCAGGGATCTTGCCTTGTTGTCTAATAATTCCCCCTAGCATCTGTGTCTGGCACTTGTTAGGTGTCTGATATTGTCAAATGAATGAATCTTATGCCTCTCATTGTGAATTTTCTTAATTTAGGTGTCATGGAAAGTACATATAGTTTTATAGAATTCCTCAGCAGGCTTATTGTGGACAAAAGAGCTGCTAACTGGTGGACCTTAGAATTATTATTTCTGGTAATATAAAGAATTTCTTTTCAAGTTCTGATGATTTTCTTTCTTTCTAATAAATTCTTAAATAGATATACTCATAAATTTTGGGTGCAGGCTACACAAAGAAGTTGTTCTTTTATGGAAGTAGTTGGAACTGTGTACCATAACCTACTGCCAGCTCTTTCTACTTGGAGAAGTAGCATTTCAGTGGGGAAAAATCTTTTGAAAAGAGACTATTAGGAGTTGGGGTTGTAGCTCAGTGGTAGGATGCTTGCCTACCATGTGTGAGGCACTGGGTTCAATCCTCAGCACCACATAAAAATAAATCAAGATATTGTTTCCATCTACAACTTAAAAAAAAGAGAGTTCATCATAAATGGTGTTAATAAGAATGTGGAAAATTGTGGGCCCATGTAAACTGCCACCGTAAGGCCTTTCCTTCAGTATTATGCTGTTTACTCATCACTCATTCGTTCAACATTTGCTGACTCCCTACTATGTGCCAGCCTCTTTTTTAGGTACTTCCCTAAAGGAGCTTATATTCTTGTGGAAAAGTCAGTTATAGAAACTGACAGCTGCAATAGCAATTTGTATCTGGATGATACAAAGTACAGAGGAGAGCCCTAACTTAAAGGTTTAGGGGAGATTTTCTTAGAGGTGGTGATGCTCAGAAAGCCTCAAGAGTTCACTCCAAGCCAAGTGTGGTGGCACACACCTGTAATACCCTGAGGTAGGAGGATGGTGAGTTCAAAGTTAGCCTCAGCAACTTTGTAAGTCCCTGAGCAACTTAGTGAGATTCTGTCTCTAAATAAAATATAAAAAGGCTGGGGATGTGGCTCAGTGGTTGAGTGCCCCTGGGTTCAATCCCCAGTAACCAAAAAAAAAAAAAAAAAAAAAAAAATTCACTGCATGGGAGAGCAGTCCTCTAGCTTTTTGTCTTGATACCAAACAAATTAATGGCTGTGTATACTCTGGGAAGAAGGTATGAGCTTATGAGCTTCACCCTGTCATATCCAGTACTCAAAGCAGATTACTTTGCCCTCTTCCCTTTTCCTCTGCTGCCTAGAGTTGTGCTGTGCTAGGGTCAATATCAGTACTTTCCTTAGATTTTAATTCCTTTAAAAGTCTCAGCCCTCTGGCTGGGATAGATGGCAGTTTCTTATTTCTTTGTGTATCTCATTATCCACATCATTATCTTCATTCCTTTACCTGGCTTGCTTGTGGATGGGCTGGGAAATACTAGGAAGTCTCAGCCGAGCTTTGGTACACTTGGCTCTAGGGAAATACTGGCTATTGCTTTAGACCACTGCTAAAAGCAAAGGAGAGAAACTGTGAACAGTTATGGATAATCTTTGTCCTTACTCCTGGGTAGCATTCCCGGGCTGATGAGTTCTAAGTTGCACGCATGAAGTTCTTGAAGGTAGGGGTAAAAAACTTTTTTAAACTTCACATTTATTTATTAGCTTATCTTTGAAATTTTTCTTTTGTTTTAAACTGTATACCTATTTGTCTACTAGCACATGTTTAATGTATACGTACATAATATGCACACACATAATGTATTATATATAATAACTATTTCCTCAGAGTTTTTACTGAATAAGGGTCAGTCAGTCAAGTTTAGCAACCACTTCTCTGTGGGAAATGATTAGCACAAGTGACCTCTATGCAGTTTCCAGGAAATGTGAATGATGAAAGACTAAGTTCTTGGGGGTACTCCTGCCTAGCAAGGGGTCAGTGGAGAAGGTGCAGTCCATCTCCAATTGAGGGACTGAGGAGATTGGACTTGGAACAGGGCAGTGGGTTTTGTGAAGAGGTGACCATTTAACAAAAGCCTGGCCCCAAGGAGGGAATGTAAACGAGGAGTGATGATAGAGAAGAGGCAGCTGAGTGACTATGTTAAAAAGTGTTTTGAATGGAAATTTTTTCTTTTTCTTGTCCCATTTTATTTGTAGTAAGAAAATATTTCTTTCAAAGCATTTAGGCAGCAGTGGGAATTTTACACCCATCATTAGAACAATTCGTGTGTGTGGTGACTATGTTATCATTAGTGGTATAATTTTATTTTGCAAAGAGAGAAGTGTTTCCTGTTTTATCACAGCTTTCCCCGAGGAGGGCTGGTGTATTAATTTGCTGTATTGCCTCCTGGCTGTTCCCAGGCTGTTTTTCCTCTTCATCATGGAATTTTTAATGGCCCTCATGCCTCTTGGGAAGCATGTGAGGAAGAGTTCCTCCGGGAGAGCTTCCCTTTTTTCACATGCCTATAATTACTCTCCTTTAAGAGCACAAAGAGTCTGATAATCATGCCTGGACTATGAAGGTTCCCTCCTGTCCTGGAACTGAGCTGAGGCTGCTGCTTGCCTGGACACTGCCAGTTGCACTCTACCAAGCACTCAGCTATTGCATGAGAACAAGGCCACTTCAAGATCCACCTGCAGCTCGGGGTTCTCAGCATAGGCCTGGGGGCACCTGGAGGGAGGCAGCGATGAATAACCTCTTTTTTAGTATTTCATTGCTATAAACAAAAAGTAATGAGACTGTAATTTTAAGATAACACTATGGATGTATCATTTTAATGCAGCTCAGATGGCTGGGCAGTGGGTGCAGGGGGAATTTTGTGGTCTTTATACCATCTAATAGATTCGTGAATTAAGGGGTTTTCAGAAATACCACTCTAAAAATACTTAGTTTAGGGTTTTCAACCCTGGAATTGCCCTTTGGAATCACCTGAGAAGCTTTAAAAAATATATCCATGCTGGGCCCCACCTCCAGAGATTCTGATTTAGTTGGTCTGGAATGAGACCCAGGCATTGGCATTATTTTAAAGCTCTTCAGGTGGCTAATATGCAGCCAGGGTTAAGAATTGTCATTCCAAATGCATATGGTTTGAATGACGATGCTTTGTAGTTTGTTTAATAAGGACTCACGTTGCAGAATTGGCACAATCTCTGTACTTTGGCATCATGAGCATGACTCCTCATGGGAGGTAGGCCTCTAGACTTCTTTTAGCTTTGGAGAAGCCGCTGCAGATGAAGGAAAGTGTTAGTATCTAGCACAGTGCCCAGCACATAGTGATAAATGGGGAGGTTGGAGGCTTGTTGGATAGATGAGTGGACAGTTATATAGTTGGCTGGGTGTGTGGATAAAATTCACAAACTTAACTGTTTTGTTTTTTTGTTTTTTCTTTTGGTTGCTAGTACTGAGATTTACCATTAAAGTAGTAATACTTTGTGTTTAAAATTGCTGCTGCTCAAACAGCAGATGGTGTGATTGGTGCTCTGATAGAGGCAGGGGTATTGTTGTCAAGGGCACAGTCACAGATTTGTGATGAGACAAGAGCTATAGCTATAGGCAGCCTTTCCTAAAACGAGAGGTTGATTGTGATGAATAGCTTTTCTTACCATTATTACCTATAAGAAACACTAACTAGAACTTACCAATTGCTACTGTCTGCTCTCTGTATAATGTACACGTCACCAGTTGTCATTATTGAGTATTTCATAGCAGTTAGATTTTTCTCCAACTTTCATGACTTTTCCTCTCTTTTGGATGGTGATTTGGTAATGCACCACTATTTCCATTTCTTCTTTCTTAAGTTCTAAAATAGCAAAGCAATTGTTTTATATCTTATTTTCATAGGTCAGTTCCTTTGTAAATAGACAGCTTTTCATTTGAGAAATCTCATTTTCATTTCCAGTAAGAGTGGCAGATGCCAGCTTGGTGTGCAGATATTATATGTGTTCTTTAACGAACAAATGAAAAGTCTCATAGTTTTTGTGGTTTTTTTTTTTTTTTTCTTTGTTGTGATATCCTGGCAAAGTCAGTATGAGATTAAGAGTGTGGGTATGAATGTGAGGCAGACACAGGTAAGAATCTTGGCTTCACCTGGGCAAATGACAACCTCCCCATTCTCCAGTTACTTATGTTTAAAGTGAAAGTACTAATACTTTTCTTACTGGGCTGGTGAGGATCGAAATGAAATAATATACATGAATATTTGATATCCTGGTAGCAAACATTATTTTTCTTATAGAGTTTCTTCCCTATCCTGTCCTTAGGGTAATTGTAATTTTAAGAACGTTGAATTAGCTTCCAGAGTCATTTGCTAATAAGATGTAGTACAGAT